GGTCACCATGCCTGGCTGCACTGAGAGCTGTTTACCCCCTACCGAGCAGGCCTGATGGTCTGCCCTGAGTGTGTGTTCCAGGGTACAAGGAGCTTACATTCACCAACAGTGCTTCTAGAGAGTCCAAAACAGCTCAGAAAGGGTCTTCTCTCTGTCCATCCTGCTATAGACAGGCCCCATGAAAGGAGCATTTACAAGCCATCGGCTCAGAGGCTCCAACAGCCCTCAAGGTATTGGAATCCAGAGCCACAACTGGCCCAACACGTGCTATGTCAGTGGATGTCTGACGAAGCATTTCATGTTGGTCCAGGGGAAGCCAAAGTCAAAGCAGGCTTGGGAATCCACCTGACCCCTTTGAACAGGTGATTTGACCTGACATGCCATTTTCTCACCACCAGTGCACACTCGGGCCAACCTCTTGGTGTTGTATGATAAACAGCTGCAGTCTGCAAAGCGTTCGTCGTACAAGGTATGATACTGTGATCATGGTGACTGTGGTTCCTGCTCTGTGTCCAGCACCTGCCCACACCAAGGTCTGTGCATTTACCCAACCCAATAGCCCCATGGGCAGGCACCACCTGAGAATTTACATTCTGCAGACACTTCCTCCTGATTTCGAAGGAGGGGCCCTGAGACCACACATGGAGAAAGAGTAACTTCCATAGCAGAGTTCACCGCCCAGACTGGACCAGTCCCAGCCTTGCTTCACCGAGACCCGCTTTGTGCCACACTGGAGGTCGGTGCCTCTCTTCCCTGTAGGGTTGTATCTGGGGCCGGCTCTCAACAGTGGCCATGGTAACAACGTATTGCCTTTGTCAAAGTTGTAATTAATACTTTGTCAAAGTATTAATAATTCTAATAGTGAACGCCTAAAGTTTTCAGCATGTTTTCTAAGCGCTAGGTCACAGGGGGTGACACAGGGGTGGGTTCTTTCAGTTGTACCCTGAAAATAGAAGAAAACTAACTTTAAGGAGTTAAAACTTAACTAGAGCGGCTTTCTTTCCCTATCAGCAAGTGCCTTTGCCTGTCTGTTCCTGCATGGGAGCCCCCAGCCCCTCACGCTCTGTGCTGCTCTCTCAGGAGCCCCACCCGTGGCACAGCCCAGAGGGGGCTGACAAAGTGTGAAGATGGATTGAATCCCCTGCGCTCCACAGTGAAAGGTTTGCGTCTCTATGTGAACTCTTTCACCTGCTTTAGCTCACTCAATTCCCTGGAGAACATGTCACATTTAGCAGTTGAGAACACTGAAGCTAAAGAAGGTTTAAATGTTCACAACCAGTTAGCTCAAGACATAGAGCTTTACCCCAAGACTTCCAGCTGCAAGCTTCCATCAACTGCCTTTGATGGAGTTTTGATACATGGCCATAAGACAGAGCTGGGTCTAACGAGAGAAAATAACGTAGAGAATAACACATCCTATCTGGATGACAAGTTGCTCTGCGGCAACATAAACATAAAGATTAGGGTATTTCTCTGACTGATTCTCAAAAATCTTCAGTTATTTTGTTCTTACCCAGAAATATGATGACTGATCATCTTGCATCTTCCAGGACAGTGGTAACTTCTAATAACTGTTTTTCTTGATAAAAATGATTTTATAAGTGTGTGTTAGCTGTATTCTTTTCAAATCTTTTCATATCCATGAATTTTAAAGGTCAGACGTGTCACTTGTCCTGAGTCTTGGTTTGACAAATACATATACAGCATCTGCTTCTCCCGGGTTTCTATTAGGGGGAAATCGGGACAGAGGAATCAAGGCAGCAAACTGCTGCAGAGGATCAGTTGAGCCCAGGAGTTGGAAGTTGCTGGGAGCTATGATGAAGCTACTGCACTCTAGCTGGAGCAATAGAGCAAGACCCTGTCTCAAAAAAAAAAAAAAAAAAATCCTATTCTTCCAGTACTTTAAGGGAATGCCCTGGACATCCAATCTGGGCACTTCATTTGAGCTGTGCAAGTTGGCCCTTAGCAGCCCCGTCTGCTAACCATGGCAGACTGCCTGGAGGAGGCATGGATGTGAACTGTTAGATACTTGCCTGGTATGAAGAGATGAGAGCTGGGAGGAGGGTTTAGCAATACTGGCAGCATTTGTAAACATTGGCATCATCATGTGACATCAACATGGTGTCCACAAACTGGTGACCTGAGCCACCCATGATGTTTGTGCAGGAGGTACTCATGACAACCCACGACATGCTCAAGTTTGTCAGCTGGAAGCCAACAGGGTAAATAATCCTGGAACTATTTCTTTCATCAAAAGATAGTTTTAACTTATTATTAATTAAGATAAATAGCGGCAATTGACTCCTGATGAAGGATTGAGAATGAACAAAGCTCTACTTGTTGTAGGGAGGATAAAACTCAGAAAGTGCTGGGCTCACTTCCAGTTCCTCAACGTATCTCTGAGAGGGTTTTGTCTATTGCAAATGTTATTAAAACAAAACAGAGATGTCATTGAGGTAGACGTTTTCCCTATGAGTAGGGCTGTTGTTCAATTAGGTCAGTAAGAAGAAATCTCATTTATCACATTGAATTATTAAACATATGGATATAGTGGTTGTTTATCATATTATATAAAAGCATTATTTTGTAAAGATTTGAAAATTAAAAAGCTAAACTAAACACCACAGATATTCTAAAAGGCACTGCCCTAAAGGGAATTCTCTGGGCAGGGATGAGAACAGGGGTGTGTATGTGCAAGTGGGTAGCCAGACATTAGGGGAACGGGGTGAAACAGCTCCCTCTCAGCAGATAAAGCCACTATTGTGCTGGGTAATTATATATTGCATGGTCTCCATGGCAAACAAAAACGTTTGTTTCCATTTTGGTTAAAACGAAAACTTTCCCCCTTTTCTGAGGTAGCTCTGCTGCCTGGCCAGTGAGCTCAGAGCCACTAATGAGGGGCTGTCATGCCAGGGTCCACCCACCAGAGCAGTGGTTCTCAACCTATGGGTCATGACCCACAGGGACTGTATTAAAGGTCCAAGGCATTGGGCGGCGCCTGTGGCTCAAAGGAGTAGGGCGCCAGCCCCAAATGCTGGAGGTGGTGGGTTCAAACCCAGCCCTGGCCAAAAACTGCAAAAAAAAAAAAAAAAAAAAGGTCCAAGGCATTAGGAAGGTTGAGAACCACTGCTCTAGAGATTACTTCACTTCCCTGTAAAAACCCCGCACTGTTGAAGGTCCCAGAGGGCAGTGCCCCAGCTGTCTCCCTCCATCCCTCGCCCTCTAACTCACCCCACAGACCTTTTTGCCATAAACAGCCTTCCCAGAAGGTGAGCATGGTTCCATGGGAACTGTCACCCCCGAGAAAGTGACAGCACCTGGAGCCACTGTGGTCAGCTGATAGCCTCCCCACGAGGCACCCAGGCCCATCCTTCCTTTTGGGCTCCACTAATCCACTAGTCTTAGGCCCATGCCTCAAACTGTGGTTTCAATTGACTTCTGCCACAAGAGTGACTGATGTGGTTTTTCTTCCTGCCAAAGAACACAAAGAGTCCTCCTATACCTGATGAAAGGAGCTCCTCTGTGAAAATCAGTGTCCTTGGAAAATTGCCCATGGTGATGGAAGAGGGGCCAGGGCTAGCTGGCAATGTGGCCTTGGGATAAATCTTTGGGATGGCACACAGCAGAGCGGGGGCTGGGCCGTCCTGGGGCCTCCAGCATTGTCCACAGTGCTGCAGGCTCAGCGCATGGTCTGGAGAAACAGGTCCCCAAGTGCCTGTGACTAAGTCTTCAGTGGCTCAGAGGAAAGGTGCTGGTCCCTGGTCCTGTCTGCAGTCAGCGCTGACTCGGCACCTGCTCCACTTCAAATTTTCCCTCTGTGTCTGCACAGCGCTGCGCGGAGCAAACCCACAGCCCTGTCCGGAAGGATGGCATACTGCAGGAAGTGGCGAAGGGCTCCCTAAAACATAACAGAAAATCAGAGGATTCTGCAAAATGATAAACGCTACCCACTGCCAGTGCATGCTCCTCAATTCAATGACATCCCCTGAGGATGCAACTTTTTTTTATTTAATTACAAAATATAGGTAACTTCTTTGCTCAGTAGGCAAGTTGTCCCAGGGGACACGCTAGAGAACCCACCTCCCCTACCCCAACACATCACACCCACACACTCCCCCCCTTACAGCCCATGCACACACACACTCCTATAAAACACGCACACACTGGGGTGCACAACCGTATTCACTCACCCACAGGCACAGATTCACCCTGTGCTCATACGTGTGTACAGACACAGACAGGCACACTCACAGGCACACACCCATTCCCACTGGTGCACACACTCATGGCATTGTGAACACACTCCTACATGTACACACTCGGATCCACACACACAGACGTGCTCATGGGCACACCCACTTGTGCACACCCACACTTGTGTGCACACATTCATCTGCACACGCACTTTTTTTTTTTTTTTATTTTTTGAGACAGAGCCTCAAGCTTTCCCCGTGGGTAGAGTGCCATGGCATTACAGCTCACAGCAACCTCCAACTCCTGGGCTCAAGCGAGTCTCTTGCCTCTGCCTCCCAAGTAGCTGGGACCACAGGCGCCCGCCACAACGCCCGGCTATTTTTTGGTTGCAGCCATCATTGTTGTTTGGCGGGTCCGGGCTGGGGATTCGAACCCGCCACCTTAGGTGTACGTGGCTGGCTGCACACGCACTTTGAAAACATGCTAACACTGTGTATGGAAGAACGGCTGCAACCCGCGCTCTGGCAGGCAGGCAGGCAGGCACGGTGCCCTCTGCAGAGTGATTGCACGCGGAGGCCTGTTTTCAGAGCCCTGGAAAAGTCAGCACTCTTTACTCCCTTCCTCGTTTCATTTCACATAAGGTGACAGGCCAGGAAGGTATCTTGAAACAGGAGTGGACCAAGCCAGGACTGCAGTCAGGGGGACACAAGCTCATCTGCATAATGAAAATGTCTCATCTTCAAACCCCCAGAAGTCGTCTGAGGGTCACTTCACCTGTGGGAGCATTTTTAAGGCCGGAAAAGCAGCTACTTCTCTGTCCCCCACAGCTCCCTCTGCACAGCTTGGAGGAGGCTGCGAAGCTTCCGGAACATGCTGGGGGCAGCTCTCGGGGAGTCAGCGCATTCCTGCACCACCCCCCGCAACTGCCACTGCAGCTGGAGGGAGATGGCAGAGCTCTCGAGGGGTGAGGAGAACCAGTGGCGAAATATTTTGTCACAGATGACCTGAGGGAAGACAGGTGGGCAGTTAATTCAGGGCAGCCAATCATCCCAGGAGGCCCCCCAAGCCTATAACTGGCTGTGCTCCAGGACATCACTGCGAAAGTCACCTGGTCGGGAAAGGAGCTTTCCCTTCGGAACTTAAACCAGTCAGCACCGTGAACAAAGTGCCTCTCAGAGAGGAGAAGGCGACCTCTGTGTGAGGTGGCAAGCTCCACTTCCAGCCCCTCAGCTGACGGGAGCAGCTCTGGGTGACACTCTCATAGAGACTGCACACGTTTCTGGCGAGAAACCGATAAGAAGTCACAGGCAGCTGCTGCTGCGTGAGGAGCTGGCCCACAGGCCTGAGGGCTTTCACGCACAGGCTGCACTGGTGACCACCGCCATCCGCCAGAGCTGTGGGCAGGGCCACACAGCACTTGGAGAGACGTAGTGGGCAGGTGCGAGCTGGACCATGAAGAAAAGGTAGACTTGAGAGGAAGGGCTGTAGCCATGAGGCTCTTCAAGGAGCCTTCGAAATGTTTTATTCCAGGAGCAGAGATAAAACTTAAGCCACTCTCTCCGTTCTAATAGGATATGAAATTCTCATAGGGCACGAGATGCGGCGTGGCTGAAGACCACATGAAATCCCAATTTAAACGTGGCGTTGTGTGGCCTCCACAGCTTCTCCCTGTCGGGAGGCCTGGCCTAGAAGCTGCACCACTCGTGGGGCTTTATTTGTCCACATCACACTCATGTCAGGCTCACTTAACAGACGCAGCTGCTGCACGGAGCTGCGTGCTCTTAGAGGACAAATGATTTCAACTTGTATTTCCCAACCCCTGCAGAGGGGAGGATTCTTTCTAAAAAGGAATCATTTTATTTCTGTTTTGAATAGAGAATACGTTTGCTTGTGCAAAACTTTAAATGTCTTTAAGAATATAGTGTAACCTCAGTCTCCACCCGCCACCCAGCTCCGATGCCTTCCCTGAGAGGCAGCTGCTCCTGGAGTGTCCTTCTCGGAGTCCCTGCCCTCACATGCCCATCTGTGCATTTCCTCTTCCTTTTATTTTTTACCAACAATATATTATACATGTTCTAAAACCTCCGCCCCATTGAACCACATGTCAGGAATATCCTCTCAATGGTTTCTTATAAGGATATTCCGTTTGTTCTAATGGCTGCATCTCAAATGCGTGTGTATCATAAGTTATTTCACCAGTTTCCTAATGGAAACTGAGATTTTTACTAACTTTTTCTGCATAAACGATGCTGTAATAAGTGTCTTGCACATATACATCATTTTCATTTTGTTCATGTCTCTAAATTCTAGAAGTGGAACTTCTGGGTCAAAGGAGATATGCACTTTTTGTTTTGGTACATATTGCTAAGTTGACCCTGTAAGAGTTGTACCAACTTACATAATCTCAGCAAGACAGACAAGAATATTTGTTCTTCCCAGAGCCCTCAGCCAGCATGTGACACAGACACCACATTTTGCCAACAGATGGGTGATTATGGGTTCCCACAGCTCAAGAATGAGTCCACATGACATTAAAGAGCCTGGGATGGACACGCCTCTGAAAGCTACCTCCCTGGTAGGGCTCCTGAAAGGGGAAGCAGCCTGGGATAATGGAACTTGGCCCAGAAGTTTGTGTAGGCTCTAGGGTGGTGTGTGATTATGTAGATGATGTAAGCAACAAAGAACAAGTGACAGCCCGTCCCCCACTGTCCTGCCACTACTGAACACACGCAGCCTGTGAGGGCAGCCTGGGCTCTGCTAAGGGCATCTCCAGCATGGGAGGGCAGAATCAAAGGGAGCAGGCAGCCTCACCCACAGCAGCCCCTTACCTGCAGGTTGCTGTTGACACGCTGTGCTCCACACTTGTTGATTCTCAAATCACACTTGGAAAAGCAGTCAAAGAAATTGCAATCTTCATCTCCTGTGCAATTTTGCTCAAGGATTTCACTCATTTTAGGTTCAAAAAAGGCCATGTCCACATCAATAGCCACCACCTATAATCGAAACAGCACACAGCTGTCACAGGGACTCTGTGGGCTCAGCAGAGAGGGACAGGAAACCTGTTTGGCGGTTCCATCTCCTGTGATGGGGGTACCATTGCCCAGACTACAGGATCACAGAGTCCCCAGGAGCCAAGAGGAAAAGCCCAGGTCACACGCCCAAAAGTAATTACATGTATTGTCTTTTACACAAGCAGCTCTCACAGATGACACTGCAAGGCCCTAACTGCAATAAGAACCATTGTAGTCACTAGTTAAAGCCCAGGATTCAAACTATAACCCCAACTATCACTCTTCAGCTTTAAACATTTTCTCAGCTTTAAAAGTAGAATCTCTGAAATGTTCTTTGTTTGTTTGTTTGTTTGAGACAGGGTCTCACTGTGTTGCCCAGGCTACAGTGCAGTGGTGCAATGGAGCTCACTGCACCCTTGAACTCAGGGCTTAATTGATCCTCCCACCTCAGCCTCCCAAGTAGCTGGGACTACCTGTGCCTACCATCATGCCCAGCTAATACTTTTATTTTTTAGTATAGACAGGTCTCTGTATTGCCCAAAGTGGTATTGAACTCCTGGCCTTAGGCCATTTTCCCACCCTGGCCTCCCAAAGTGTTGGGATTAGAGGTGTGAGCCGCTATGCCTGGCCAAAACATCTTATAAACAAATTTCTCTCTGTTACTTTTCACTTTGATCTCTGACCTTCAAAGGTCAGGATTATAAAAACTGTAAGATACGGATAAGCTATCTCCATGAAACAAGCAATGAAAGGATGCCACATTTGAGTGGCACGTCTGCAGGTGGGATGGTGAACGTGGGATGAGGTGTGGCTGCTTCTCTCTCTCTCTCTATAAATATATATATTTTATATATATATATCTCATATCTGTTCCCTGTGTCCACTGTGGGGGAAATGGCAAAGTTCTGGAATTGGGACTGATATCACAGAAAGCCTGATCCCACAGGACCTCAGTTCCAGTGTCCGCATGAAGATATGGTGACCCCCTGGAACTTCAGATTTATCCTCCTGGCTTCAAACCAAATAGACTTCAAAAACAGAAAAAGAATAAGCTCTAAATTATGCAACTTGTCCTCCACCAGCTGGGTGCAACAAAAACAGATGAGTTCAAACCTGAGAAAACCTGGAATCTGCCCAAATGAAGTTGTCTCTAGCTTCGAGGCACTGAACAAGCCGTTAGAAAACATGATGTGTTTGATGGAGACAGTGGCTGGCGTTTCACAGGCCCTTACAGGTCGACCTCGCAGCCCCAGCCTCGCCTCTCCCTGCGCCAGCGGCCCCAGCCTGTGTGTTTCCTCCTTGGTCTATGCTGTGTTGCGGGCACAGTCCTAGTTTGGGATTTGGGTTTTGGTTTTTCCTTAAGAGTTGATGCTAAAAGGCAATAAAGTTTCTTGGGGATTACTCCGTAAAACCAGAGCAGGGTTTTACTGCTCTGAGATAATTTATTATTTGAAATAAATATTATTATTATTATTTGAAATAAATAAAATTATTTGAAATAATTTATTTCAAAATATGTGGAGAATAATGAAAACAAAGAACATAGAACTTTTCCCTGTTTAGAGGGCTTTGCCTAATTATTCATTCAGGCATAGCAAACAGAATTTATCATTTTTTTTTTTTTTTTTTGAGACAGAGCCTCAAGCTGTCCCCCTGGGTAGAGTGCCGTGGCATTACAGCTCACAGCAACCTCCAACTCCTGGGCTCAAGCGAATCTCCTGCCTCCGCCTCCCAAGTAGCTGGGACCACAGGTGCCCGCCACAACGCCCGGCTATTTTTTGTTTGCAGCCATCGTTGTTTTGGCGGGTCTGGGCTGGGGATTTGAACCCGCCACCTTAGGTGTACATGGCTGGTGCCTTAGCCGGTTGAGCTATAGGCGCCGAGCCCAGAATTTATCATTTTAATCAATCTTTCCTATCTCACTGTTTAGCCAAAATAAATAGCTGATTTCACTATTTACTCTGGCTAATATAGTAAAGATGAACAATGGCTATGCTAACAAATCTATTGTCTGTATAATTTATTACCAGCCTACAAGACTCTTCTCTTCTTTCTAAATAATTTCTGGCAATCTCCCCAGCCTCCTCCAAGCCCCATGCTAGAATTGAAGCTTCTTGCAACTTCTCCTCATTTCTGATGATTTTCTTCTCATCTCCCAGGGAGAGCCAGGTTTATTTTTAATTTTTAATATATGGCCTAGAATGGATAATAGCTGCTATAAGCTTAACCCTGGGCACCTAATATCAAAACAGTCCCAAAACACACAGAAAAACTTGCATCATGTTCCTTGTTTCTCTTTTTTAAAATAATGTTTCTTAATATCAAGAGAATCATAAAATTCTTCGTACATGAATTACCTAACTTGCATCATCTTCTTCAAACTTCTTTCTGACATCAGAGTAGAAAGATAAATGAGAATGATTTTGCTCTTCACTGAAGTGTACCCCTGGGGCAGGAAAACCTTTCATTTGTTCAAAAGGAGCCCTTGCTGGCAATCCTTCTGGGTTCTGAAGTCTTGACATTTCCTAAGGACTCATTTGCAACCACTGGAAAAATTCTCAAGACCTACAAGGGGGCTCTGGCCTGCAGGTGAGTGAAAGGCTTGGAACCATCAATTCACACATGACAACTGGAAGGCACCCTCCTTCCACCAGGGGGAAACCAGAAACCTCAAAGGCAGCACACATCTGCTAGGTCCCTGAGCTCTCCAGTTCTCAAACTTGAGCATGCATGAGAATCACCTAGAAGGCTTGTTTTTTAAAACACAGATTACTGGGTCCCACCCCAAGGTTTCAGACTCAGTAGATCCAGGGTAGAATCTGAGAATTTGCATTTCTAGCAGCTTTCTGGAATACTGCTGATTTCTCTTCAAAGTTGTAGAATCTTAGTTAAAATAAGTGTCTGTCAGAAGGTGGGGAACAGCAGAACTGCAGAAGGGGGTGCCCTTGTCTTGGCTCCATTCTCACCCGAGCTGGGGCTGGAGCAGCAGCAACAGTGGGTAGGGCAACCCCAGCCTGCAGATTACAGTTCGGGGCTAGGTTGAGGATGCACAGTCATTATTTCACTGAGCAAATATTTCGGGCCTGTTGTGTGCAGATGCTGGAGGCACAGCTCAGGCAGATCCCACTGACCAGTGGCTGGATTACCAACAATCGCCCAGATGAAAACATCCAACAGCACCCATTCAGCATCCTTCATAAAGCAGACATCCTCACAATCCCCTCAACCCTCCCAGCACCCAGTAATCCTGCTGGATGAGTGGACAAGTGACCGAGTGCCAAGAACTGGCCTACAACTGTCCTAGGCCAGGGGGTTATCCATTGACACCCTGCATCTACCTCCCCCAAGGCCTCAGAACCTTCCCTATGCAATCTTCCGGCTCACTAAGCACTGCAGCCTTGACCTGGAAAGCAATGTCATCTCAGGTGTAAGAAACAAGCTGGTTCTGCCATGGGACATTCCCCACAACTCGGGAAAGTGTCTGGGAGGGGCTGTGGAGCTCAAGGTATCACAGGCAGGGCTGAGCACCCCCAGATCCTCTGGCCAGCATGTGGACCCTCTTGGGACCTCCCTGAACCTTCTGAAAACTTCCCTTCCACACTTCAAGTCACCCCTGGCTTGTGAGCCCCACCAGGGCAGCCAGGGACGGGCATTAGCATAAGGCCGAGAGGGCAAATGCTGCGACATCCTTCACGGGGACAAAGTCTCGGTCAGAGAAGGATTTATACTGGCGCCAAGTTTTCTGGATTTCCAGGCTGGGCCACCTGCCACAGAGGTCCATGGCTGGCAGCGCTAATACCTTCTGTTGTCTCTTTATGTTGTTGCCATGAAGAGTGTTACCCAGCACAAGCTAGTCCCATGACAACCTGTACCTTCCCCTACATACAAGCTGAGGCAGCTGCAGCTGAGCCAGCCTGGCAGTTAGTTCCCCTGCCAACACTTGCACATGTCGGTTTTAGCCTAGCTGAGGGGGGAGGGGATTATTTTATAATAAAACACTGACAGCCCTTTTGCTGCTTTTTCTCCAACTTGTATTTCTCATGCAGCTTCATTGCCCTGGAGCAGGACACATAAATGCATCTGCCCAGATATTTCCCCTTGGGCAGGTTCTTCCCTGTGGAAAGCATGAAAACTCCATCTGTCCCTCTGGAAATATTTCACATGGGATGGAAACTAACTAGAACCTCTCCAGGAAAAAAACACTGGAAAAAGTTACATATTGTCAGGAGCATGGGCAGTAAGGGAACAGCATCCCCACATTGGGCCTTGTGCAAACAGCCGCAGGGGCCGGTCCACATCTTCCTCTGCGGGCAGTCATCTCCTGAAGATCATTCTCTGCCCTGGCTAGTTAAACAGACCCTCTAGGCAGGCTGCTTTGAAATCAGCTCTAGGAAACCACAGCACATTACTTTAAGGAAACCAGAACAGGCTTCAGGGAGGGCAAACCTTGCCCTATAACCGGGTCCTTTCACTTGATCCCCACCCAAGGTGCAAGGTTCTTTGAATATCTTCCTCCACTCTTGGAAGGTCGGGGTCTGGCAGGTGGGAGGAAGCTGGGGCTAAGTGGGTGTTTGAGGTCACAATGGTTTGCTGACCAAGGTCAGGCACTCAGAAGCCTGCCACTTCTACCGCCCAGCCTGAGGTCCACACCGCCCACTCTCCGCCCCCACCACTTACTGTGAGGTCTCTCCTGATGGCAAAGTTCTCAGGCTTGATGTCACAGAGGTGGAGGCGGTGGGAGAAGTCACTGTGGAAATGGTTCACCATGTCCAAGAAGCTTAGAGCAATGTTGCTGATGGCCTTGGCCTGGCCCTGGCCACCCCAGGGGATACCTGCAGCCTCATCCAGGGGGAAGAGAGTCCTGTGGTGGGGGCTGCCAGCGGCCAGGTACTCCACTGCGTAGAAGTGACCACAGGAGCCCAGCACGGGCAGCACGTGCTGACTCAGGCCCTGCAGCAGGCTGAGGTGGATGAACTCTTCCTGCTGCAGCAGGGCCCACGAGCTGGCCAGCTGCCCCCGCCAGCGTGGGCCCTGCTGGCCCGGCCACAGAGGCCCCAGGCTGCCACTGGACAGCTCCAGGCCCAGGACGTTCTTGACCTGTCCTGCCACCATCAGGAGGAGCTCTGCCTCAGGGATGTCCTGGCTGCCCTCCCCCGCCTCCTCATCCAGCAAGCCGAGGGACTGGAAGCTGGAGAAGTTCTCACTGGTGGACTTGAGGACCACAGGCCGGCCGCGCCAGTCAGCCTGCAGCACCTTCTTGCCCCGCTCGTAGTACAGGCAGCGCTGGTACAGCAGCTTTCCTGCCACGCACAAGTCCTCACACAGGTCCCCTGTGAGTGCTCCACGGCGGTAGTCCCGGCACTGGAAGGAAGGGAACAGTTGGTCATGAGGCAGGAGGGGCTGGTGCCACCCTCCACTGGGCTTGGGGAAGGGACAGGTTGGTTGCTGCCCTCGGGACACTTATAGTCCAGCAGTGGACAAGAACCTCACAAATGGGAGCAGCACGGGCCGTTTAGGGAAGAGCTAAAGAGTGCCTCCCCGACACCATACTCTCAGCATCAAGACGCCTGCATAGGAGAAGCAGGACCTGCAGGGCACCTGGGTGGTCCTGGGAAAACAGGAAATTGTAGCAGGAAACAGACAATCGGGCTGGAGCAGGCCAGCAGCTCTCAGCACTGGCCATACCTCAGCATCACCCAAGAGCTTTACCGCCCACATCTAAGAACAGTTAGGTCAAGTCTGGGCAGTTAGGACCCCAGGACCCCTGCCTGTCCCCAGGTGGGCCACAGTTAATGATCCCACTCCCATCCCGTAAACATACTCACTGGGCTTATTATTTTCAATTTACAATGGTGAGCCCCCTAAAGCTGGCAGGTGCCAGGAAGACTGCCCAGGCTCAGGGGGATCCATTCCAGCTGAGTCCCCAACCCCCAGGTCATGGACAGGAATGGTCCATGGCCTGTGAGGCACTGAGACACACAGCAGGAGGTGAGCAGCAGAGTGAGCAAAGCTTGATCTGCATTTACAGCCTTCCCCACTGTTTGCATTGCTGCCTCCTGTCAGGTCAGCATTAGATTCTCACAGGAGCAAGAAGGCTACTGTAACTGCCGTGGGAGGCTCCAGGCTGCAGCTCCCTGTGAGAGAGACACCTGGTGGTCGGAGGTGGAGCTGAGGCCACGAGGCTAGTGCCGGGACAGTCCAGTTGCAGGAAAGCGAGCTCCCCCGATTCTGCATTATGGTGAATTGCACAATTATTTTGTCATGCAGGGTGTCCCAGAGGTCACCCATAAAGCCGCCATACCCAGGGGAAATGGAAATTGTTGGTAAATAGACCTTTATTTACAAAATATCCATTATAAAATTTTACAAAGAGGTGGCCACCATATAAAGAGTATTTTGTAAATATTTTGTAAAATTTTGTAGTGAATAAGGGAGAAATGTGTGGCCAGTGCAGTCTGCACAAGTGGGTGGCCCTGGGATGACACTTGCACATGTGATTATGTGCTGTAGAGACATTCGCTGGAAGCATCGTGTTGGCAGCTTTGTTAACCCTAGTAAACCACAAGCAGTTCCTTAAAGCCAAAAAGTATACCCAAAGTCAAAAATCTCTAAAAACTACAAGATTTCCACAACTCATTTGGCCTCCTGCAGCGTCAAAGCCCAACAGAAAAGAAGTGAGGCAATTTATAGTCTGTGTATTTTCTGCATAGTATAGTAGTGTGAATTTGCATGTATTTTGAGACAGAATTACTAATTTGTTTGACTACTGGTGCTGCTGCCTATACCAAATATACCTTATATGTACTGCATTATCTTTCTATCACCCACAAAAGTTTAAATTTCAAAACACACCTGATCCCAAAAACTTAGATGAGGGATTGGGACTCTTATAAATACTGCAGATTCATTGTTCAAAGCCCTTATTTGAAAGAAATACTCCCAGTGCTTAAAAGAAGTGTCTAGATTTTCGAGACTATTTCAGGCAGTCACCAGACAAAGCCTGAAAGACCAAAGCCAAGCCGTCTAAGGGGACCCGGAGGCTTCCTGCTGGGGGCCTCCTGCCAGCCACTGGCTGCAGAGCTCTGCGTGTGGTATCAGCGATGCAGCTGCAGACACAGGAGGTTGTGAGCCTGATTGCCAGTCTAGTGATGTGGCCCCATCTATCTAAGGTTTGTCTTTGGAGACCCACCCCATAACGCAGTTGTATTAATATACACCCACCAACTTTGCTGAACACACTGGAAGTTGTTGTGTGTATGGTATATTCCTCTGGAATTTAACTTCACAGAATTTTGATAAAATGCCAATCTTTGGCTTTAAGCCTGGTATCTCTTTCCAAGCCACGCTCAGGAAATGAGCATGGAAGGATCAGGACCCTTTGTGTCAATGTACTTTGCTTATTATTATAATTGCTTCCACATCACTCATGAAAAAAGCAGCAGCTGGTGTCGGAGACCCCTCGGTTAGTTCAGGTAGTCTGGCTGAGAGGTGCAGGAGGACATGCGGTAAGGAACCAAAACAGCCCCGGAACAAGACACGAGGGACAGGAGAGGCAGAGGGTGTTCACTTCTTAGCGTGGGGTTTCTTCCTCTGCCTTACCTGGTATTTGCAGAGTTTCATGTCTCTACAATAAACCTGATAAGAAAAAATGCAAAACATTGTTTCCTGATTTCATTATAAATAAATGAATATGTGATGCCCAAGATGGTTTGTTTCACTTCCATGAACATTTTTATAGTGTTATCACATTTCTAATTTACCAAGAGTACTTTTCTTTTCTTTTCTGCAGTTTTTTTTTTTTTTTGACCAGGGCTGGATTTGAACCTGCTACCTCCAGCATATGGGGTCAGCACCCTACTCCTTTGAGCCACAGGCACCGCTCTACCAAGAGTACGTTTTCATGAAGTACAGAACAGAACTGGAAAAGAAAGAAAGGCAGGGAATAGTAGCCCATGTGGCAGGACATGGGGACCTTGAGGTCAGAGCTTCAGATCCCGCAGTGCTGGGAGGGGGCACAGGGAAGACTCAGTCCTGGTGGCCACTGAGTGAGGAGGCCCAATAGAGAAGTGCCAGGTGATGGGCAGGGCCCCTTTCACTTTCCCGTGAGTGGGGGAGTGAGGAAGGTAGCGACTGTGACTGCCAGGACCCTCACTCTTCTCATCTGAACTGCGTCCACCATTGCCATTGGCCAAGAGAGGCACCTGAGGACCTCACAGCCACACGCTTGCCACCATGCCTAGAACTGGCCACAGGTGGGGCCTTGGGCATCAGCCCCACATCACCACCCGCAAATCAATGGCACCAGCTTTCCACAACTGACCTAGCTATGTGTGAGTGCTGATGGACAACTGCCTGACCATGGCCGCCAGGCTTTCTGCAGTTCAGGGCAGAGGTGATTCCTAAATGATGTTAGAGCACGGCGTGATAGGAACTCGGCAAGGCCCACACCGGGTTTGCCTCCACTAGCTTGTGTGGCTGGTTCCAAGTCTAAAATGTGTCACAGGAGACTTGGGCAGGTTGAAGAAGGCCACAGACACACAGTCCCTGGCACTGTGCCAGCCAACAGTGATATCAGCCAATGCTGGTGCCCTCCTCAGCCCTAGTTCCAGAAGGTGAGGGTCACTCGGTTTTGTGAGAGGACCCAGGAGTCTGCCCAGGAGATGTGGGAGGGAGCAGCTCAGACACGGGGCATGTTTGGAAGCAGCACTGTGTGTTCAGAGGACCAGAAGTGTTCAGGGGAGTAGAGAGCAAAGTTGCCGCACCCAAAGGACCACCCGGGATGTTTTCTCAGAAACACTATTCTCCTGTGTCTCCAACTGACACATTTCCTGCTCAGCAAGGATCAAATCCACCTTGACCTTGAAGCCAGCCCCATCCCCAGGTGGAAATGCCTGTCCCCCTCCCCTACCCCAGCTCTCATTAACTCTCTGGCACTCGAGCATCCTGCCGAGCCAGGTCCCCATGGCACAGTGCTTTACATCAACCTGCAGCACGTCAGTGAAATGAAATAGAAGTCGAGGTGAAATCCGCACAAGATCTGCCCCCATGAGTTTGGAAGGCATTTCCAAACACGAGTTGCGAGCTGTTTTGAACAATGGCGTAATTGTTGGATTTGGCATACAGCCTATGGATTTGGGAAGGAAACATCCATTCGGGCCGTTTTCCTAACAATCAGCACGTTGGCTTACAAGCGTGCCTCACCCACAGCTGGATGTGGAGCAGGGTGACCAAATCCAATAAAGGGGACTGGCCAGCTACCACAGGTGAGGTCTCAGGATTATAATCTTACTTTTCAGGACTCCAGTTACCTCGTTTGCCATGAGATCATTTATTTTAAAGCAAAGCACACACTAAAAAGCATACAACTGCTCCTCAACTTACGTCCTGATAAACCCATTGTTAAGATGAAAATGGGTTTAACACACCTGAGCTGCCAAGCACCACACACAGCTCACCCTGACCTACCTCAAACATGCCCAGAACAAGCAGCTCTGTTAACCTCCAGCTCGGCAGAACCACCTAACACAGCAGTTCTCAACCCGTGGGTCCCAACCCACAGGAACTGTATTAAGGGGCTGTGGCACTAGGAAGGTTGAGAACCACTGAAACACAATGCCCGTTTCACAAAGCCAGGTCCTCTATCGGCTACTGGACAGAAAGGGAGAAACAGCATGGCCGTGTGGGTACTCAGAGTGCAGCTTCTCCCGGTGCATATCACGTGCACGCCTTCAAAAAGCTGGAAAACCCCTCATAAGTCATGCTAGTGACAATAGTGGAATTATTTTAACAGCAGCATAGCCTGTTGAAGCAGCTATTTTCAACTCAGTAAAAGTAGATTTTTTCAGGTACATATGTTAAAGCAGACTGTATCAGACTCTCCTCTGCCCAGGGTGATTTCCTAACTGCCAGCCTGAAGACAAGTACACTCTGTACCGAAATGTGTGTGCACATAAAACTCATAAGTATCTGAGTTGAAAATAACCTGAAGAAACAAGCTAGTGTCACTGTAGTTAACTCGGGGTGCATTTGCTCCTCCTGGGCCCGTGTGTATACACACAGCGCACTTCCCATCACACCAGTCCCAGCTCTCCTAAGGAGTGTTCTTTCTCTCCAGTTTGTATCCTGGTTCTCAAGCACAATCAAAACCTATCCATTCTAGTCCAGGAAACTGTCGGCAGGGTCTCAGAGGTCAAGTGCAAGGGCTGAGTTTTGTTTGGTTTGTTTTGTTTTTAAGGAGTATTAAGATGCTAGGCAGTTAGCTGCATTGGTGTTCAGTGCATCCACCGTGTAATGCCTCTGCATTAGGGATGTGGCTGAGCACCCGGGAGGCCATTCACTGCTACAGACCTCTCTGAACATGTGCCCTGGAGGCCGTAGTCCTCTTGGGGCCCTGACAGTTTCTGTTGCAGCAAAGGAAGATAAGGCTGCCTGATTTAAAATGATTCTCTACTGTGGCCACTGAATTGAAGGCCAGCAGGACCTGACTAGCCTGGCAGGGGGCTGAGCCTTCTGAATAACAGTCTGTGGGGAAACATTTGAGATGCTTTTCAGAGGATGCTATGTGAGGGTCAAGTACATGAAGTGGTTACTTAGGGCCTCCACTATTACAGAAACCACTTAATGCCACAGCTTCCCTACTATCAGACTACACAGGGTCACATCCTATTCTCAACATCTAACTGTGTGGAGCAAGGCAAGTTGTGGAAACTCCCAGGGGCTCAGTTTTTCCCTCTGTGAAATGGGAATGCTAAAAGCACTATTTCATAGAAGTTATTGAGAGAATTCAATGAAATAATACTCATGAAAGACCTTAGCACCATGCCTGCCCAGCGGAAGTATCACCAGGCATCTTGCGGCCTCCACAGGAAGCGCAGTGCCAGCAGGAAGGGAAGCCAGGCTCGTCCGTGGTCCAGCACCCACACCACTGCTCAGCCTGGCTGGGCCTCCTCGCATGACCCACTGGAAAAACCAGGTTCCAGAAACATATGCGTCAAGTCAACAAGAACATCCACAGCATGTGATCACAGTCTGTGCTGTAAAGCTGTAGTCAAGAGGAACAGTGGAGTCTGACCAGGAAAATCCAGAACTCTAAGACCCAGGGCTCAATTTTTCTGGACAACTCAAGCTGGCTCCTCTAGGGACTCTTGCCTGTGGGGTGTGTTTGGCTCCCTGGAGAACTCACAGACCTCTGACCTCCACTCCTGCCAGCTCCTAAACTCTGTCATCTGATTCCTCTTTCACAGGTGGGTTTCCCCAGGCAGGCCCACCTGCCCCCCAGTCTGGGGAACACTGGCAGATGCTGTCAGGGTGGGGAATCCATCATAACTTCGGCTCTGCCAGGAAGCCTCCCTTTGGCTCAACTGGCAAAACTGTTCCTTCTGTGCTCCAGTATTCAGAGTGAACGCTAATGAGAGTCTGGAGTCCAGTCAGGAAAATAACCACCAGTTTTAGTAGCACGGACAAAAGCCAGGCAGGATGAATTGGAAAGCGCCGGCTGGGCTGAGAGACAGAGGCTCAATTCAGCTCAGGTCCTCTGAAGCCACCATGCCAGTCTCTGCTTGGCAACTTGGCCCATTTGAGTCTGGGTTGTCAGACTGGGGTGGTATTTCAACACCTCCAGTGTCAGTTAGTGTCCTGAGTAAATGCTGGGCCAGGACTCTGTGTAGATCCCACAGTGAAATACTCAGAATGAAAATGGGAGAAAGGGCTACGGCTGGAATAAAGGGAGGGAAAGCAAAGTTCTGAGGCTGTGCAAGGAGGGAAACCTGCCAGGGCTGGGCGTCCAAACAGCGCTCAGGACAAACAGGCTCACCTGAGACAGCGTCAGAGACACTGTCAGGAAGACCGATACGGGGCTTTCAGGCATTCTTTTGGCAACAGGAAAGACTGAGGGCCTTCAGAGGCAGGACCAAGCTCTTTAGCTTTCTGTCTGGCTGAAAATGATTCCATATGGTTGCCAGGGAAGCTATATTGGCAGAGCCTCTAAACCGAATTGGTTTTAATTTACAACCTGGAATGCTGGGGAAGTTATGATTAGCAATTACTTAAATTATATTGGGCTATTTAATTTCCATTAGGCCTTTTCCCACTTAGCCAAAGGTAAAGAAATGAAAAATGGTGTTCACTTTTAATCTAAAAGATTATTACATTAATTTGTAAATAGGTCTTCCATCCTAGCTGAACCATCAACTTCTGTTTACTATTAACACATGTAATTAATCAACAGCCCTCCCCTAAAAAACAAGGGGAAAAAAATCTTTCCAAATGACAGGAATTTTTATATGAGGCACTGAGAAAATCAATGCGTTCTTGCAGCTTAAAACTTGATGGAACTTGAGCGTGCCAGTGGAGAGCAGGTGGACGGAGACTCTGGGAGGAGAGTCCCACCTGCATGTGGTCAATTCATGATGACACGTGTCAGGTTCAATTAAGGAGCTGACTTCTTTTAGCTCACGCATTTGGCTCATTATTTTAAAAAACATTTTTACAATCTCACAATTTAAGAACCTTTCTGCTCCTACACTTCGTGAAAATCTACAATCTCAAAAGCCAAGCTATATGTAACCAACGAGACTGAAAACTTCCCGTGTATCTCTGGAAGATGTTTTAGGAAACAAGTCACTGTTGCAGCCAAATGCTTATTTTAGGAAATGGATGATCACTTCTTAAACCTAGCAGGTGGCTATCTTCCCTTGGGTTTCCTTCAGGGCTTCCTCTGGGTATTCAAGTCCTCTCTGCTTGCGCCTTACCTTCCACAGAAAATGAACGCGCTGACGAGCATCCGGTTTCAAATCAACTAAAGATGAACATTTTGTTTGCAGCCTCTGTGGCCAAGCGCCCTCAGCAGTCTGCGAGCGTCAAAGTGTTTCTTTCTCCCCCTAATTGTACCGGCTCAGCAGAGGAGCTGTTGGGTGCAAGCCCTTCCCGGATGGGAGACTCCGCTGTTCAGGACCAGGACAGGGATCCGCCGAGTCCAAGCCGCCTCCGCAGCGCGCTCTACCTTGCTTTCCACCAAACGCTGCCGCAATCTTAGTTTTGCGGCACCAGGGGGCAGGGGTCCTACCAAGTGCCTGCATCTGGCTCGGGGAGGTGCGGGGATGATTCGGCAGCCCAGGGCTGAATCACAGAACTACGGCTGGGCTGGAGCTCTGGGCCCAGAAAGATAGAGCCGTGGTCCCCGCGTGCCCCAGCCCAGCTGCCCAACACCGGCCACGGGCACCGAGGAGCTGCCCGGAGACTGAGATCAAGACCCACAGACTCAGATCACTCCTGCCAACTTGCTTCAAGAGATCAGGCTCAGGGATGGCTGGTAGGAGACAGTCGCGCGGGCAGAACATCTTAGGACAAAGGACTAGTTTTGGCGAAAATGGGAGAGACACTCCCCACGCACCCACAGAGGACTCCGGGCGAGTCCCAGTTGGAAACCTGGTCGCGCGCCTGAGGCACTTCATGCACGTGTCCGGACCCCGCTGCCCACGGCGGGTGGCACCACCTCCCAGGTGCCCGGGGTAGAGTGGCCTCACGGACACCGCAACCTCGCCGGCTGGCGTGGACTCCCCCTCCCGGGACGCGCGGCCCGGGGCAGTGTGGCGGCGGGACCTACCAGCGCGGCCAGGATGCGCCGGCTCCTCTCGTCTGTGCAGCGCTCGGAGAGGACGCCCGGGTGCGCGCGGAGCAGCAGCGCGACGGCCAGCACCCAGCCCGCGGTCCACGCGGCGCAGGCGAGAAGCGCTCCCTGCCCGCACCGCCCGCACTTCCCGCGCCGCCCGGCCGGACCCCGAGCGCCCGCCGCCCGCGCCATGGCCAGCCCGGCCGCGCCCCGGCCCCGGCCCCAGCCCCGCGGCTGCCCGCGCTCAGCGTCCCGCGCTCGCGTTGCTGCTCCGAGACTGGGCCCGGCGCGGCAGGGAGGGGGCCGGGGGAGAGGCAGAGCGAGGGGAGGCGGCAGGCTCCGCGCCCCGCCCAGCCGCGGGGTTGGGGGGCGTCCGGCGGCTGCACCTGGCGCGCCCGGGCAGTGGGTGGTGGTCCTCTAGCTGCACCCCCGATTCCACCCTCCCCCAGCCACCCGCTTCATCTTATTTATTTGCACTTTCCCCCAGGAAGACCAGCTCCCCATTTAAAGGAATCCGGGTAGATTCGATGTCCCCGTCCGTCTTTTTACACGCTGGCCCTCCTGTGCGCACATCTTCAACTGCTAGATGGGACCCCCTTCTTCTCCCAGTGGCCACTAGGGCCGAGCCGCCCTGCCCTGACCCGGAGTGCCCTCTGCACTCTGGGGGCTGCAGCGCCCGCTCTACAGGTGTCCTCTGCGGACACCGCCCTCTGAGTCTGACCCCGACAGGGTCTCCTCCCGGCCCTACCTGGAGTGAGATCGGTTCAGAGGGTCGGGTCGGGGTCGGAGACAGTCAGGAGGGTCCCGGAAACCCGGCCCTACCCTTTCGCCAGCACCGCAAACCAAACTGCCGAGTCCCTGGTGCCGGAAACTTGTGGGCGTCCTTCTCAGGGGTAAAGAGGGGCCGCACTCGGCTCGGGGCCTGTAGGTCAGCGGCCAGGGCGCCGGCCACATAGACCGGAGCTGGCGGATTCGGACCCAGCCGGGCCTGCCAAACAAACATAACAACTACACAAAATAGCTGGGTGTTGTGGTGGGCGCCTGTAGTCCCAGTTACTTGGGAGGCTGAGACAAGAGAATCGCTTAAGTACAAGAGTTTGAGGTTGCTGTGAGCTGTGACACCACGACACTCTACCGAGGGCAACATAGTGAGAATCTATCTCAAAATAAATAAATAGGGCCGCACTCTTTAAACATTTCTGCCTACCCTGGCGAGGAGAAAGCGCGCATCAAACGCGCCTAAATCTGTATTTATATGTGTGTAATGGCACCGGGGGAGGCTGCTTCCGTCCGCAAATCCCAGGCCTTACAGGAGGGAGCTGGCCTGGGGTTCTAGCGGGCACCCCGCCCCACCTGCCCCTCCCGGAGCCCGCGGTGGGTGGTGCGACCCGGGCGCCGGTGCCCGCCGCAAGGGGAACTGTCACAGCTGAAGGGCCCTGGAAGCCGCTGCGCCTGGAGGCTCCTGCACTCACGTAACAAAAGCTTATTCAGCTCCTGTTACAAGCCGGCCCCATCCCGGCCGCCCTTCTGGCTGCCCTGAGCCTGAATTTCACCCCGATCCCTTCCCAATTTGGGGCTAACAGGAAGCCTCTCGGCCTGATAAAGCATTCTGCAATTACCGCTCAAGAACTGGCCGCTTAACCCCATCTATTTGGCTTGTTTAACTAGTTGTATGGCTGGCTCAGTGGCAGGCTTCTGGGGGAGGGGGGAAGAATTGCATAACATCAGAGGAACAAATGCTCAGCCTCAGGGAGACTTGGACACACCCCAGGTCTTCCCTGAATGCAGTGGACCCTTGGGATTTATGAGCTGCTCACTGGGTGGCCACGCCCAACCCAAAGCGCCAAGTGTGAATTACTGTCACTGTACCGTCTAGTTTGGGGGTAGGTATGGGGCAGAGACAACAACCCAGGACTCTCCTTTAAGACCTCAAGTCACCCGGATGAAGTCGCTTTCCTTCTCCACCGATGTTAGTTGGTATGGAGAGGAGGGTGCAGCAGCGGGAGGGAGGATGAGATAAAGAAGTGTAACCATTCGTTCTGGAGAAGATGGCCATGAGAATCACGGGGAGAAAAGCAGGGGACTTAAACATAACGTTAGGATTAGCAGGTTAAGTCTTACTTTTGTAAGCTTTAAAAATTGGTTACAAAGCATACTTCCTTGGTCACTTATTAAGAAAAATATACAGAATGTTAATAAAAATAATTGCACAATGAAGAGGTCGTCTGGCATTCACAACTGTTCTAGTACAGCAGTTATGGTACTCTCTAGAGGCAAAATAAATCCTTAGGCTAAAGGACCTTCACGCCTCCACCATCCTGTGTGGTTTGTGCACTGCTGAAAGCCAGATGGGCCTGAAATCCCCCGGGGGTTAGTTCACCTTTGGGGGGGGGGGCGCAGAAAAGGACAGCTAGCCAGGAGGGACACCTTTATTATTGCCTATACAAAGGAAGCTTGGGGGTTCGGTGGAGTTGCAGGTCAGGATTAAGGGTACAGAGTGGGAGGTACTATGGCCCAGTGCTGGCTTCACATCAGGTTGATTTGAATAAACTGTGTGACTTCATAAAATTGTATGAAATCCAAGAACTACTTTCCCTTACCCCAAATTTCTAAAACTGAGATTATAATATTAGAAGTGACTGAATACTATAATTCCACCTATCATAATATCAAACTTATTCACCCAGAAATTTATGAGGTAGCTTTCCTTTGCTTTGAAGGACATGTGAATTTAGCTTTGCATGACTACATGAGGCCAAAGTCCTCTGAGCAGATGAAAGGCACCCCAAGATTCTAGACTCCACAACCCAGGCCCCATGACGGGGTTTTAGGCACCCACCAAAATGCAACAAAGTGAACAATGCAACAAAGCATGAAATTAAGGTTGGTTTCTTTTAATTAAACATCTCTACCATAGCACTTATTCTGTCCTTATTCATTTATTTCTTCGATTCAACTAAAGGATCCTTGAGGGTGGAACTGTATCTTATTCTAGTTAGTCCCAGGGCCTAATACAGCACCTGATACCAAGTAGCTCCTTAAATGTCTGCTCTCATGCCTGGACTCCTAAGAGTCTGGGAGGCTGAGGCAGGAGGATTGCTTGAGCTCAGGAGTTAGAGACTAACCTGAAAAAATGAGACCCCAGTTCTACAAAAAATAGAAAGATGAGCCTGGCGTGATGGCATGCACCTGTAGTCCCCAGAATCCCAGCTACTGGGGAGGCTGAAGCAGGAAGATTGCTTGAGCCCTGGAGTTTGAGGTTGCTGAGGACATGGCACTCTAACCTAACGTCCTTTAGGTGACAGATGAAGACTGTCTTAAAAAAAAAAAAAGAGAGGAGGAGGAAGTTAAATGTCTGTGAACGACAGAGGGAATATGTGTGTCAGCATTTCCTCTAAAAGAGCGGAAAACTGAGCTCCCTGTGGAACTTTTCTTGAGGAGGTGCTTTTTACACATAAACATTTCTGTGTCCTTTCTTGAAGCTAAGTTGAGCCAGCAATGACACGGTGTTAGGAATCCGTTTGAACATATCTCTTGGGTCCTGAGCTCATCTGCTGACAGTCAACTGTCACTGAGAGCAGAACGTGACTCTGGTGCTCATGGGCCACTACTGGAAGAAAAACAAAACTCCGCACCGTCCTAGCTCTGACTACCCTGGACAAAGCGGTCATTAGTGCTCATCCTGCTGCCTTTCTGCATTGCTGTGGGCTGGTAGGAGTGAGCGTGTCAGACACTACTCATGCCATGGCTGTTCCTCCATAGCTGGCCTCAGGTCAGGAAAGTTTCCAGCATTCACCACTGTTGCCTGTCACTTGCAGGAGTTATAGTCAGAACAAGAATTTAGTTTGTGCTCACTTTTGTTACAACTCCTTTTGTCCCATCCCAACAGTGGCTGCCACCCATGCACAATAGTGACCGTACAGGAAGGAGGTGGCCCCTTTCCAGAGCGGAGCAAGTTTCTGGTGCCCTGTGGGGTGGAGGAACAGTGAGCAGGAGGAACATAGAGACTGGCCAAACCAAATTTCCTCAGCTTTAGGCATATACTTCACTGCTTTTTAGTAAATTTACAGACTTGTGCAAGCAGCACCATGACCTAGTTTGGGGACGTTTCCGTCACCCCAGTAAGGCCCCTCTTACCCATTTGTATCTGCTCACTGTTCGCATTCCCAGCTCCAGGCAGCCACTAATCCCTCCCTGTAGGTTTGGGTCTTTCTGAACATTTCACATCATCAACCATAAACAGGTGTCCTTTGCACCTGATTCCTTCCACTCAGTTTAGAGGTTGAGGTCCACCTGTGCTGTGCACGTAGGCCACTGCTTCTGCATCACAGTGGTACCCCACTGTGCAGGGACGGCATCCCAGACTGTTACCCACACATCAGCTGATGGACATTCCGATCATTTCCACTTTTTGGCTGTTCATAGCACTGCTATGACATACGTATAGGCCTTTTATGGAGATGTATGTTTTTATTTCTCTTGGATTCCTAGAAGTGGAATTGCTGAGTAGTACATTTAAGTGGTTGCACCATTTTCTATTCCTACCAGGAATGCCCTGGGACCCCAGTTTCTCCACGTCCTCACTGGCACTCGTATTCATTCCAGCCATGCTGGATGCAAAGCACCATTTCCTTCTGGTTTTAAGTTGCGTTTCCCTATGAAGACTCATCTTTAAAATTTTCAATGGCTAGAAGCCGCCCTACGATTTTTGTCACTCTTTTGTTGTCCATCATTGGATCCTTTTATGATACAATCACATTTTAGAAAAGTTAGTCAGATTTTCTCCCCTCTGGGGTACTGTCTGGCTTGATCCAGGGCAGGAGCCTTATGAAAGACAAGGAAATGGCTGTTTGTCAGGCAATCTGAAACCCAAAGAAGTGAAGCTCCCCATCCTCCTCATGGGGGAATCCGGCTCCCCACAAGACGCAGGTGGGCACAGCGCTGGCCTTTGGTCTTTGGACACCAGCAATATTGAGTAAGGCTGGGGGGAGAAAAGCTGAAAGCACCAGACACCCCCCTCTGCCGTCTCCAGTGCAATGCACAATGCGCCACGCACCACCCACTCACTGAAGTCGTCTTGTTCATTGAGGTTGGCCAGAAATCTTCACACAAAATGAATCACTTTGTTCTTCACAGGACTTTCTTGGTTTACAAGCCTCTGGGATTTCCTAACCACTCACAGTTGCTCTGCGTCA